AAGGTTGCTTGTTAGATTGGTTGCCGGCTGTTGGGCTCTTAGAGAATAGTTATACCCATTTATGAGTATCTGAAAACCCATGAAATGAAGCCGAATAATTCAATACTTATTGTAACTTATAAGTTGTACTCRAAATTTAAATAAAATGTATTTATTAAAATAATTAGGTAGTACCTACAAAAAAATTCTTATTTTTTGTTCAAAAATGATCATTTTAAAATGCATATTATGTTTATTTAAGTGCAATTAGTGCATATTTGGTGTTTTTTTTAGAGCTACAAGTCCTCTGCCCTAGTAATTATAGTGTTATAATGTTGTTCATGTATTTGGATTTGAGTATCTAACAATATTTTATTGTGTTTCGTATAATTTTTGGTTATCGCGGATGAAAAAAACTTTGAAGTTTTACACTTTGAATGGACCTGATAAAATAACATACAATGTCTCGTCTAGATTACATAGCCATGTGAGGTACTGAGGTCCCAGATATTCAAAATGTTTACTGGCCATCGCATTCTATTATTGAAATACCCAAACCTCTAAMAATTGAGTTAATGTGATATTAATGGTTATCATCAAATAGGTAGTTATTTTTAATGACGATGTCCTATGCGTAAGCTCGACGAATAAAAATATGAACAATATAGCTTATAATTTATATCACACTGCACAGAATTTAATTTTCGAACAGTATACAGCATGGTCGGAAAAGAAATCGTTCGCAGTTTTGTGTCGTTTAAAAAATTAAAACACAATCAAATTACACAAATATGCAGTGCGTCTATACCCATCATAAAGTCACAAGAATCCGCGTTTCTATTTCTGACATTTTCGGCATTACCAATCAGCCATCACTGTTTCGGTCACCTATATGTACTTACCACGAATTATAATGCGTATCATAATACTTGTGGTAGGTACTAATACAGTAGACCATCATTATACCATTCCAGTATCCTTTGTAATATCATGGGTACTAGGCAAGGCACCTACTATTTATTAACTAATATTTATAAATTATAAATTAAAATAATAAAATCTATAAACTATTGTATATAAATACAGTCGTCGATTCCCTATTCTTACTATCCCTATTCGTCAATGAAAATATTTTAAATTTTAAATCATAAATTGTTTTTATTGTTATAGTTATTAATATTATAAATTTGAAAATGATATATTATTTAATAATTTAAGTATTATGTTTTAAAAACAACATTATTCTGGTATGTGGCAACTTTAGGAACTAGGTAACTCGTACCCAWGGSCGGAGTGAAACCTGATTTCGGGTCTGGAAAACATATTTTTCCAGCCCATTGGCTCATCGGCTAACTATTTAAGGGGTTAACTATAGACTTGAAAAAAAATCAAATCTAACTTATAAAATTAACAAATATGTTTTTTGTTTTAATATTTATAATAWTACAAMTTTWATGTCATAATGAGTACTTTGTATAACTAAACTATAAAGAATTTGTTTTCCATCAACATTAATTACTCCAAATGTTTGGTTGTAATTGAATTGCTCAAACTGTTTTTAAATATYTTTAAGTAGAAATRATMTTTTATAGGCCACTTGGGTACCGGCAAAGTAAATAATAAACACTGATATAAGCAATGGATAATGTAGGATAAACATTAGAGTAAAAATTACACTTAATTAATGCATTGTAATATGTAACTATAAAATTCTATAGTTTTTACATGT